GTGTGTGTGTGTGTGTGTGTGTGTGTGTGTGTGTGTGTGTGTGTGACAGACACATACATTCTCTCTCATTCTCTCCGGGCCTCTCCATTTATTGCTGATGTCAATGAATGCTTGTTAGCTGTGCAGATAAGGCAGATTCAGAAGGAGAAGACAACTGCTGATATTGAGCAATGGGAGGAGAGAGAAAAAAGGCTAGGAGAGGTGCAGGCCCTGAGAGAGCAGCTGGAAGCAGTCAGGAATGCATTGTTTGAGACGGAAGATGAGCTCTTGAGCGTTGTCAGGGAGCTAGCATACTCGGTACAGTCAGTCATTTCCTAAACCCTATGGAGTTCCTCTCTCTCTCTCTCTCTCTCTCTCTCTCTCTCTCTCTCTCTCTCTCTCTCTCTCCAAATATTTTTGATCATTTTTCAAAGTTCTTATCTCCATTTTTTCAACTATCAATATTTTTTTGTGTCCTATGAACTATCAATTTCATGCCCTGCAAAAAGCAACCCCCCCCCCCCCCCCCCCAAAAAAAAAAAAAAAAAAGTAATAAATAAAAATAAAATCATGCACTGGCCCCAAGATGCATTCACTGCGACACCAAAGCTGAATACAATACATCATTGATGATTCTATTTGATGTGCCTCACAGACTCACATTGCTTGCCATTTTATGATTTTTTGAATTTTTTCCATCTAATCAGTTAAAAAACATTTAATGAGTATTAATATTACGGAAACCTCTATGAGAATGGGATCTCTTAGACTATCAACACTTTTTCAAAGTTTTTCCTTTTTTGAAGAGGGTAACCCCTAGCCTTATTTCATCCATCTGAGTCCAGGGATTCGAACTCATGATCTGTTTATTACCAGTTTCATGTGTGTAGCAGTACCATTCAGTTGTCCTTCGGGACATTTGTTAAAATAGGAACGATATACGAGAAGATGAGCATGGCCTCTGCGCAAGGATGACACGCACAAATCGAGAAATATAAGGAAAAAAAGAAGAAAAAAAGGCAGTAGCATTCAGTCACGTGCGCTGGTATCATAGAATCGTCAACACATAATTACATGCAGACGTGCATCCAATCGGTCCATCTCTTCAATTCCCCAATCCCCCCCCTCCAAAAGGTACCCTTAATCCACGAAGAAAAGTGTACTGTGAATTTGTGAAATTCTGTCCTTGAGGAACTTAGCTTGTCTAGGCACTGGTCAATCGGAAACCACCACCAAAAAAAAGAAAGGGACTGCCAAGTGTAGGGACAGAGTGAAAGTCAAAGGCTAATCTCTCTTGATTTGGAGAAATTCAGACAACAAACCTTACTACGGTCTTCACCCGAATAGAACGCCCGTTCATTATAGACGTATTTGGTCGAATTTGCAGTCCAGATATTAGCTATAATGACCGGGCGATCTATTCGGATAAAGACGGTAGTAGTTACTACCTTCTTGAGCCTTCTTCCCCCGAACACAATGCTCGGTCATTGTAGCTGTTTTAGTCCAGCTTTCTGGTCACACACAGATATACAGACCGGCCACTGCGTCGGGGTGCATAATTAATATTAATTATTAATTAGTAACCACTACCTTCTTCCCCCAAGTACAACATACGGTCATTATAGCCGTACTTAAGACTGAAAGATACCCCAAATGCAGCTACAATGACCGTACGTTCTATTTGGGTGAAGACGGTAGTCTACGACTATAGTAATGACTAATGAGTACGTACGAGGTAGCTATTGTGAAATTAGGACAACAAACTACTGGAAACTACCATCTTCCCCCTGAACACAACGCACCCTGATGACGAATGTATACAACCCATCTTTCCGGTCCGGTGCAGCCAAAATGAGGGTGCATTGTGTTCGGGGGAAGATGGTAGCCATGCTCTTGTTGTGCGCTGTCTACAGTGATAGTCAAGAATCTCTGATGGAGAGAGAGGGCGCATCGGCAGCACCACCCGTATTATGGTTTTGCAAAATTCACATTGAATGTGCTGAACTAATTTGGTTAAAGTTTTAGTAAGTACTTTTCTGTAATAACGAGTAATTAATACTAATTATTGCTAGGCTACCAGCCGGCCACCCGGGTCACCCTATTTTCCCGGACGGCCCGGCCGTGCAAGGAGCAGGGAAGGTCCTAGCAAAAAAAAAAAAAACAAATCCGGAAAAAAACTATGTTATGCAGAAAAATAAACTGAACAACTTTTGTGCGAGGCCACTGCCTCTATGAGCCCCATTCGGCCCCTTTTTGGAGCAAGTCAGCCGCCCTAAGTGAAGGCAGGCTCGACGAGGCCTTCAGGGCCCTATTTTGACCACTGCGCAACTAAGGAAATTCAGGCAGTTGCGCAGCGCCAGTTGGTTGAGAGAACCCAGACCCTGGGCCACCTGTGTGAATGTATGGAAAGCAGGCCCTGGGCTGGATATGGATACTGGGCCAAACACACCAAAGGCAGTTGGGTGCATGCAACCACCTCAGGCCCAAGGCCTGTTCTCTATCGTGCTGGGCCTCAGGCTACCGGGGCCTACTGGAAGCTTCCTGGGACTGAACGCAGGCAGGCCACTTCGATATAGCGAAGGGCCTGCNCCTCAGGCTACCGGGGCCTACTGGAAGCTTCCTGGGACTGAACGCAGGCAGGCCACTTCGATATAGCGAAGGGCCTGCCTCCAGATTGGGGATTCAGGTGCTGGCTGCATGCTGCGCAAGCGCTGCCACGCTGTAGCTCGCTGGCACTCACGCGCTCACGGGCGAGAAGGAAGGAGCAGGCAGCCATAGCCAGGCTGCGCTGCTGTAAGCTGGGTGTGGCGCAGGGTGGTCCTTGGGTGCAAGTGGCATCTTTGTGTTGGGGAACGAGGTTGTGAGTGAGGCGAGAGACATACCTGGTGCTGGAACCGTGCGACATTGGTCGCTGTATGCTCGTACTTCGGGAAAACTGTTGACGTCATCTTCGGCATTGTAGTCTAGGCGAGATAGGATCTGCCATCTGTAGTCTGGGCGCCGAGCGCCAGATAGGATATCAACATTGGTTCGTCGTTGATGATGATGGGGGGACTATTTCAGCATTGTCAATTATGAGCTCTTGGTGTGTTCTTATTTGGTGAAACTCGTGATGCAATTCTGCTGTTGGCTCGAGGTCACGACTATCTGGTCTTATGTGTATGATGCTGTTTGATTGCTGAAGTTTGCTATTGCTCATCTTCCTTGCAATTTGGTATCGGAGCTGTGGTACGATTGCGCTCATCTGGCGCTTGTCTTCTGCCTAATGCGGTACATACATGCGGTCTGCTTGGTGAGTTGGGCCGTAAGTGGTGTGTAGTGAGGAGGGCGGAGACAAGTGAGTGGCGACCCAGGAGGTGAGGGGATCGCCAGGAAGGCTACGTGGTGTAATGTGGGTCTGAACAGTGTGATGAGAACTATCTGATCTCCGATTGGTGCTGAGGTGGAACGGCGTGCAATGCTGGTTGTGCTGAAGCAATGATTGGTCATCACAATCAGCATCAGGTCATCTGGTGAGATTATGTCTGTGGTTGGGGGCAGCTATTTGAGGTACGTTGCTCTTAACCTTATCTACCCTCTTCGACACTTCTTACCGTGAGGTTGTGTGTTCCTTCTTGAGAGTCCTCTCATTGTGAGGGGTCGAGTGCGCTCAACCTTGAGAGTCGGCAATGTTCACGTGGAGCATCTGGGAGAAGAGGGGCGGAGCTTTCTGAAGGGCCCTGGACGAAGCACTGGGTCACGGTCACCATGCCAACCCACCGGGAGTAGAGCACGCATGCTTTGCTGCTTGTCCTTTGTTTGGCTTGCTGCGCTGTTAGATGGGTACTGAAGGGCAGGCCAGCCCTAAGTGGGAGACGAGACCGGACGTCTTTAAATAAGTACCGGAAGGGGAAACCGTTGGCTGTGATCGTCGTCCGGCTGCGACGTAAAATAATTCCTGGAGACACTTGGGGGCGGTCGTTAAATTGCCTCTGGATCAGCCAATGGTTGTAAGGCTCGCTGCACGCGAGGATAATCCAGTGCAGGGCTGGCCAGCTCAGCAGATACTCGGGGCACAGGGGTGGGCCGAACACACACCTTTTAGACACGCAACACTCTCCGGATTCCTCAGGGACGCTGACGTCAAGTGACATTCAGGGGAACTAAGGGAGGGGTAGATTTCAGGTGACAAGTTTGAGAAAAATTCCATATTGTCCTATCCACACAAATGATTCTATTTTTATGTTTTGATTAGTTAGATGTACAGCCATTTGACATCTGATAGACAGCATAATAAGAACTGTCTCTGTTCATTGTGCATTCTGTTCGCGGACTAATCAGACTAAAAATAGTATCGTTTGTAGGAATCTGACTTACCTGTTGGGCCCGAATGTAGTCTCTGACACAGCCACCAATTAATTAGTTATTTATTTTAAATTGGTATGTGCATTATGTGTGCAGTGTTGTAGCTTATGAGCGACAGGGAGAACACTGGAGAGGACGGCCAGCTATTGCGTTCACGTACACGTCCGATCGCCCACTTGGCTTTAGGTCCAGAGGGCGACCGACATCTGTTCCGCCAGCTTAGGGAGAGGCAGCAGCAGCAGAGGAGGGCTAGAGCAGCGGAGGCTAGCAGGGCGCTCGTAAGCGAAGTTGCAGCTTCGGAGGCAATGGCTACCTCTGCACAACAGACCTCTCCGACAGGTAGTTCAGGATCCGTAGGGTCAGCAAGCTCTGCTGGGTCAACAGGCTTTGTAGGGTCAACTGGCTCTATAGGGTCAACGGTAGCGCAAGCTTTGAGTCAGTCCGTTGGCGTTATGGCAAGCCAGCCATTAGTGATGACTCCTGAGGAGGTCGCCATACAGCGAGCCGCTGATCGCGAGGCACAGCTACAACAGGCTTTGAGAGAGATTAAGGCAGAAAAAGAAATGATGATTAGAAGAAGAGTCAGGATGCAGCGAAGACAAGCGGACGTTAGTGAGTTAGAGAAGATGGACCCTGAAGAGATGGATGATGATGTGAGGACCATATGGTCAGTCTTGTTAAGTGTAGTTGATATCCAAGATCACCAAATGGAGATCTTACAGGACATCCAACAGTCTGGTTGTATTAGTCAGGCGGATGTCGACGACGCCATCACTGTCCGGGCCAGGTGCCTGGCCCGTTGCACATCCTCCTCCTTTTGTCCCACCCATGACAGGGGTATCCCCATATGTAGCCCCATCATCGATCGCTATCGTTTCCCTGGGCATGCCGCTATCAGGAGGGTTATCAGCAGGTCCTAGTTTGCAGGCTCCAGTACAACCAGTGTACTCCCAACCTCCGTTGCAAATTGCACTTACAACGCAACCTGCTGTCTCGCAGCATGTACAGCCGCAGGGTACACAGCCCCTACAGCCAGTGCAGCCGCCTGTATTACAGGGTCCACAGCCTAGTGGGATGCAGGGACCGGGACAAACACAGTGGGTACCAAAAATGGCCATCGCTGCTCCTAAACCCTTCACAGGGGATAAGAGGGGCGAAGACCTCGACACATGGTTGAGGGCAGTGTCGGTCTATGTCAAGTGTAAGCTTACCTTGCCGCACGAGGAAGTGTTTGTGGCTGCATCCTATTTAGAGGGTAGTGCAGCACGATGGTTGAGCGGTTTAGTGCAACTACAGGGGTACGGTCATGACTTCCGCGCTTGGGCGGTCCCCCAGCAATTGGATGACTTCCTTAAGCTGGTGGAAGAAAGGTGGCATGATCCTCAGGAGGCCCAAAAAGCCACTGATGGACACTGCACACGAGGCAGTTTAAGTCAATAAGGGAGGCCACCGACGTTGTAGAGCGTCTGATCTGTGTCCCTGAGGTGCGCTATGACCCCCAGGTTTTACTCACCTCCTACCTGAGATGCTTTCCTATGCCTCTCAGGAATCAGTTGGCAGGTGAGGCCAACATCAATGTTCACAACTTCCCCTCGTTTAGCAAGAAGGCCCTAGACCTTGAGGCGAAGATAGGGCATGGGCAGGCACCCACTACGGATGGTAGAAAAAAGTCACTGCCTCCCAACTGGAAGGCGAAGGGGCGCATAATGTTTGTCGATAACGATGGTTCCACCATCGAGTTAGACGACAACTTACAGGAGGGAGTAGGTTCAGAGGCTGGCAGCGTTGAAGCTTCAGGGGATGGAGTTGTCGCTGCCGTAGCTCAAAAAGCAAAGGCGACCGGTAGACGTCGCGGAGGCTCCTGGTCAAGGAGTCAAGTTGACCCCAACGCTCCCCCATGGGAGAAGGCGGGTCTCACAGAGGACGTGTGGAGAGATCGGTATACACGGCAGGCCTGTATTCGTTGTGGTCAATATGGCCATAACCAATTCAAGTGCCGCAACAAGAAGGTGACCGATAAGATCCCGCCTACGATGGGGCAGGCGTTGGGTCCCGTTGGTAACAATGTTGCCAGCACTTCAGGCACTGCTCCAGGAAACACGTCGGGCCAGTACTAGGTTCGAGGTGGTGGAGACACCCTCACCATCTCGAGAGATGGCCCAAGCTATTGACTCCAACGTCGTCCCGCAAACACGTTCAGACCCATTGAGCCATTGTTCGATGAATGTGTTTGAGTCCTTAGAGGAGCTAGAGGAGGAGTGGTCCAGATCAGACCCGCTAGCTTCTTGGACAGCCCTAGTCAAAACCCCGAACGGTGAGATGTTCGTCAGCGAGGTGGTCATTGGCGGCCGCAAGGCCGGGGCCTATTATGACACTTGCTCAACTAGGAACTTTATCAGTCGCGCGTGCGTGGAGAGGCTGCGTTTACAGGGGCGAGTGCAGCGTCTGAGTCGACCTGTGCCAACAAACAGCGCATGGTAGTCAATGACTACCTTCAGGATGTTGAGTGTTGTTTCCCGTACGCGGGAGGGGAATTGAGACATCACGTTTCGTTCCTAGTGAGTGACGAATTGCCCATGGATATGTTGTTAGGAATGTACTACCTCTATGTGGCATAGCCCCAGTTTGACTGGGACCGAAAAGTGGTCAACACACACTTTGCCAGGTGGAGGGACCGCCAGATTGCACAAGTTCAAAGCTAGTAGTCTGATCGAGTCCCATGGATGCATGTGTGCGGCCGCGTTCTATAACTATTATAAGCAAAATCAGGAGGAGGGTATGTACCTAGTTTATGTGTCTGCTGCAGGTGAGCCGGTGAAAATGCCGCCGGAGATAGAGGGAGTGGTTGCCAAATACCCTGATCTATTTAAAGAGCCGACAGGGGTTGTAGAGAGGGAGGTCGTCCACGCGATAGAGATTATCCCAGGGTCTAGCATCCCGAAGGGTAAGATCTATCGGATGTCTCGAGGCGAGATCGATGAGCTTCGCCGACAACTCAAGGAACTCGTAGAGAAGGGTTGGATCCGGCCGAGTGTCTCTCCTTATGGGTATTAGTACCTAAGAAGAAGGAGGGAACACTTATGATGTGCATTGACTATAGGGGCCTCAATGCCATCACTATGAAGACCAGAGAGCCCCTACCGTGCATCGATGATTTGTTAGATAGAGTGCAAGGGTGTCGGTACTTCAGTAAGATAGATCTGAAGTTTGGGTACCATCAGATTGCAATCCGGCCCGAGGATCAGCACAAAACCACTTTTCAGACCAGGTACGGTCAGTACGAGTTTGTGGTGATGCCTTTTGGCCTTTGCAATGCTCCTGGCACCTTTCAGCACGCTATGAATCAGATATTTCATGACTGCTTGGATAAGTTTTGTCATCGTGTACCTCGATGACATACTTATTTTTCGTAAGACTGTCGAGGAACACGTTGCCCACCTGGACAAAGTCCTCAGTCTCCTGCGACAACACAAGTTCAAGATCAACGGAGAGAAGTGCGACTTTGGCCACACCCGTGTCTTGTACTTGGGTCATGAGATCTCCACGGAAGAGTTGAAGCCCGATGACGCGAAGGTGGCCAGCATTCGTGATTGGCCACGTCCTCAGTCTGTGACTGAGATGAGATCTTTCTTAGGGATGACAGGCTACTATAGGACTTTCGTTAAGAACTATAGCATAGTGTCCGCTCCTTTGACTGATCTGACCTGCCTTAACACCCCATGGGAGTGGACAGACGAGTGCGAGGCTGCTTTCAGACATTTGAAGCATGCATTGACGCACTACAAGGTCTTAAAACTTCCCGATCCTGATAAGCCATTTATAGTCACCACGGATGCCAGCCAATATGGCATTGGTGCCGTGCTTGCGCAGCAGGAGGGGCCAAAGTTGAGGCATGTTGAGTACATGTCCAAGAAAATGCAGTCTCAGAAGTTGGCTAAGCCCACCTATGAGAAGGAACTCTATGCGGTTTACAAGGCTCTGACCCATTAGAGGCAGTATCTCCTTGGGAGGTTCTTCATCCTCAGGACTGATCATTAGACCCTGAGATGGATGAGAACTCAGTCGGTACTCTCTGGCGCTCTCAAGCGTTGGATCGAAGTCATTGAGCAGTATGACTTTGTCCCGCAGTATCTGAAAGGGGAGTACAATAAGGTTGCTGATGCCTTGTCGCGTAGACCTGATTTCTCAGGTGCGCTGATTACTAAGTTCAATCTTGTGGACAATGTTACTCAGTCCTTGGTGGAAGCCTATCGTGAAGATCCGTTCATATCTGAGATCATTCGTAGACTCGAGGCAAAGGACAAAGTGACTTCTGCCGAGTTTGAGTTGGTCAAGGACTTGCTGTTCCTTGAGAAGGTTGGGAATAAACGTTTGTGTGTTCCTATTAGGGAGTCTTTGCGTAGTTTTTTTTAGGCGAGTGTCATGACGCCACCAGCCATTTTGGGTACAAGAAGACCGCAGCTAACCTGCTGCAGCGGTTCTGGTGGCCCACAATGATGAAAGATGCCCAACTGTACGTGGAGACTTGTCAGGTCTGTCAGAGAGAAAAAGCCACGTACTCAGCCTCCTCTTGGGCTCCTGAAGCGCCTTCCGATTCCGGAAAGGCCTGGTGAGAGTTTGTCCATGGACTTCATGGATACGCTGGTTACCAGCAAGAGTGGGATGAGACACATTTTTGTCATTGTGGATAGATTTAGTTATGCTAGATTAATAGCCATGCCAGAGACTGCGAAGATCGAGTACGTAATCAGATTGTTCAAAGAGAACTGGGTCAGGGATTCTGGATTGCCCAAATCCATAGTGAGCGACAGAGATGTCCGCTTCAATAGCGAATTGTGGAAGGCCGCTGCTGCAGAGCAGGGAACCCAGTTGCAGATGACTTCTGGAAATCACCCAGAGGCCAACGGTCAGGCCGAGCAATTGAATCGTGTTGTACAACACCTGTTGAGGCATTACATCAAGCCCAACCAGGTGGACTGGGATGAGAAGCTTGCTCTCATCGCCAATCTGTACAACAACGCTGTACACAGCGCCACCGGGGTGAGCCCAAACAGTTTGCTATTGACTTTCAAGCCTGGACTACCCTTAGACTTTCTCCTTCCTGAGAATCAGTCAACTGCTGCACCTGGTACTTTAGAGTTTGCCTACAGGTATGAACAGAAGATGCAGCAGGCGGTAGAGCAGATGCAGAAGGCACAAGCAGCAATGATAGAGTTTGAGAATAGACACCGCCGACCTTCTACGTTTCAGGTTGGGGACAGAGTCTGGGTGAAGTCCTCAGAACTGGGACAGGAGTACGGGATTTCCCGCAAACTCATGCCACAATACTTTTGGCCATGGGAAGTCTTAGATATTGTCGGGTCTGATCCGGATGGGCCATCTTATGTAATCCGGATCCCTGGTCATCTCCGTACTTACCCTGTCTTTCACGCCTCCAAGCTTGCACCTTTCAAAGAAACAGATCAGTTTCCATCTCGTCGTTCAATGCTGCCCCCACCCATGGATGGAGAAGTGGATATCGATGACATCGTGGACCACAGAGAGCTGCCAGTTCCAAGACCAACAGGCAGGGGACGTCCTCCGAAACCGAAGCTGCAGAACCGCGTTTGGTTCCGACATCATATTGATCCTAAGGAGGACCGCTGGTTCACCCGGGAAGAACTTATGCAGACCGCTCCTCAAGTTGTGGCTCATTACGAGGATTCTCTGCAGAAAGGAAAGCGCGCGATGGTCGAAGACTGAGCTTCTCAGAGGACTGTTGAAGTTAAGGAGGAGGGAATGCGAGGCCACTGCCTCTATGAGCCCCATTCGGCCCCTTTTTGGAGCAAGTCGGCCGCCCTAAGTGAAGGCAGGCTCGATGAGGCCTTCAGGGCCCTAGTTTGACCACTGCGCAACTAAGGAAATTCAGGCAGCTGCGCAGCACCAGTTAGTTGAGAGAACCCAGACCCTGGGCCGCCTGTGTGAATGTATGGAAAGCAGGCCCTGGGCTGGATACGGGTACTGGGCCAAACACAGGCCAAAGGCAGTTGGGTGCATGCAACCACCTCACGCCCAAGGCCTATTCTCTATCGTGCTGGGCCTCAGGCTACCGGGGCCTACTGGAAGCTTCCTGGGACTGAACGCAGGCAGGCCACTTCGATATAGCGAAGGGCCTGC